GTGACTTCTTACTATTCCAGCAACATGGTTTGAGGGAGAAGAACTGTGTTGTGGCCTCAGTGTTCATTTGTTGACTAAGTACAAAACAAAACTAAATTTTTTAAATCAAGTGTCACAGTTCAGTCAGTGGATTGCAAGTTTCAAGGTTATCTACAGTTCTTAAAGTTTGCTGTCATAGGTTACTATTTGAGCAGAATAAAACTCAGATGAACTAACAATTTAATTTAGAAGAACTAAACAATTTCTGGTTTATAGAGTTTTGCTTTTCTTGGCTTTGGCTTTCTAAAAAATAAATTAAGGTATGATACTTTCTCTTGTCTGCTAACTGCCATGGGAGTCTAGTGGGAGACTGAGGTTCACAGTGTTCAAATGAGCTGTTAGGTTGGGAAAATGATACTGTAAATGTTCAGAATTTGGTCTGTCCTCTGCATTTACCTGTTTTTTATATAGGATGGTAGCTTTTGGATGAAAACTAGGATAGGATGAAACTTTTGTTTCTGAACTTGACTGTAATCCTGTGAAAGATTCAGAAGCTCTTAAACATGCATCTTCTACAGTGCATGATGGGTCACATTACAAAGTAAGGCAAATGTAAATGGTCTCTTAAAGGCTTGCTGCTCCTACTAAATCCTCCACAGTCTAGTGAGTCCCTGTAAAAAAAAAAAAAGTGTCAATTAAGAGATATTTTTTGGTCTGATTTATATATATGTAAGAAGGTATCAGCCTAGGTTGTGCTTCGGAAAATTAAACTTATCTCCTATTATTGGTTCAAGCCGGTGTGCATGACTTCAATGTCAACCTGATTCTGTGTGTTTTCCTTTTACAGCAGCCATTTTTAGTTGTTTAGCTCATGCTAACTTTATTGAGTTGGTGTCTCTATGATTGTCTTAATACTCATCAGCAGCTTGAGATAAGTCAATATAGTAAGAAGTTCAGCTTGTTTATTACATGGATAGGCAGAGGTGGTAAATTCATAGGTTCATACGATGATTCAGGTTAGAAAAAGATCACATCCTTCATGTGAGGTGGTTACCTGTAGTAGGACCTGAAGGAATGGCATGACCTTTGTCAGGGAAGATTTAGGTTAGGTACTGGGGAAAGGTTCTTCACCCAGAGGGTGGCTGGGCACTGGAACAAGCTCCCCAGGGAAGTGGTCACAGCTCCAAGCCTGACAGAGTCCAAGAAGCGTTCGGACGATGCTCTCAGGCACCTGAAAGGCATGAGGGATGTCCTGTGCAGGGCAGGATTTAGACTTGATGATTCCATGGGTCTCTCCAACTTAGATATTCTATATAATCTAGCTGCTCAAAGCAGAGTCAACTGAGGTCAGACCAAGTGGCTCAGTGTGTTGTCCAGATATCTGTGCTTTTAAGCTGCATGGTTTCTTGGGAATATGTATTTAGACTTGTGTGGTTTTTGTTTTTAAGGTTAGATTACTTGTTTTGGAGGTATGTGAATTCATTTTTAGCTTTCTTTTCAACATGTAACTGAGAGATGGGAAGATGTGTTCTGTGAAAGAGGTCATCTTGAATTGAGATTTGAAAAAAATATCCCTTTTTCAAAGGGAAGTTGTTTAAGGGAGACCTGGATTTGTCTGGAAAATAGAAAAAAAAGCTTGTGTGATTCTTAGTCAAACTTGATGTTTAGGACATTGTGTCTTGTCTTGTTGTTTAGTTCCAGTTTATATGAGATTACTGGCATGGATTTGGGTAGGGTGATAACAACTTGGCTGTCTTATATGATAAAAGTGGTGCTTAACTTTTTGGCACTAGGCTGTAGAAACATGGGCATCTTGGGATGCCTTCCCAAGAGCACATGTGGTTCAAATAGTGCTAGTACCCATTCTGAGCTGATAGCGTATTCCAGATAGGAAACATGAAAGACATCCTGTATTAGCCACCTATCCACATGGAGTGGTTCTTCTTAAGCATTGTGAGAAGTAGCTTAGCTTTGTATTTCCTAGTATGACTGTGTATCATCTTCAAATGCAGTAATAATGAGAAAATAAAATAGTTGATGGTGAAATCTGCAATTATGTTATTTACTTCTCTCTGAAGTGATACAGAACAGGCAGGTGATAAATGTGGGATTACTTTACATAATATGGAATTACTTTATGTTTTTAATCAGTTGCTATGATTAGTGAATTTAATTTCTTATATGAGGTTGTAACATAAGTGTCTCTATTTTTTCTTTATATGTGTCATTAGTTCTGCTAAAATTTTTTTCTATTTCCCTCTAGGAAGCAATTCAAGTTTTCTGCAAAGTCTGAGCATTTATGTTATCTGAGTGAACTGACATCTTGGTAATATGCCATTTTTTGCGAGCTTCTCTCTACCTTTCTAAATAGATATGAAGTGGTCTGCCCTTTTTTAAATTTTATTTTTATAAATTTTTTAATTTTTGGTAAGTCCTCTTGTAACAGGTTAACTGTTTTGAAAAGCAAGAGAGGCATTCTGAGTTCTTTTTTTTTTCCCCAAGACTAGAGGATGTGGGTCACAATTGTAGAAAATGCAGACTTAAATGAAGTCTGACACTTCTAGCTTGCTTATAGACCTTAAAAGTTGCATTGTTTATTGGAGATTCAAGGTGTGCTGAAGCAGCCTTGTCTGGATCTCTGCATGAGCAGAGAAGAGATCCTTCTCCTCTGTCCCATGCTGCAAGAAAGCAGCATGGGACGGGCCTTCTGGAGAAATCTCCTCCTCTAAGTTTTATCAGCTTTTGAGGTGTCTACTGCCCTGGAAAGACCTGTTACCTTTCTGTTGCTTCTTCCAATAGATCTTATTTTCAATCTTTAAACATCTAATGAGGGCAACTTTCTGTCCTCCTTCAAAGGTGTATGAAATTTTAATAAGGTTGATTTGATAGGCTTGCTCTTGATATTCTAGAAGATACTCATTTTTCCAATGCAAAAATGTGTATGATTTGTTTTCCTGTTAAGTGTGTATTATTCTTGATATCCTCTTTTTTTTTTTTTTTTTTTCCCTGGCACAATGGGCTTTATTACTATTTTGTATTATTTTTGCCTTTGTTGTATGGTTCAGTCACTGTTCTCATAATATTTTACCCCATCTGAATTTTTTTTGTTTGTTTGTTGATGCTTCTTCTAGTGGCAGCATTTATCTCTACTGCTAGGAGGAAAAATTGTAAATTTTTTTCTAAGAAATAACTTATTTGGTTCAGATTTCACTTTTAAGTCTTTGGCTCTTCTGTCTTAGAAATGCTTGGATTTCTGCCTGAACACCTTCTTCCAAATTCCTGCCTAGATGAGCAACTAGTTGTATTGATACTGCCTTTTCAGGATCTGTTTAGACTAATTTCTCTTTTGTCTGTCATGAATTGTGTTTTTTGCCATGCCCACTTTCAAATTAACTGGTGGCTTGGTTCCATCCCTTGATCTCTTCTTGAAGAATGATGTTGACTAGCTCTTCCTCAGCACCACAGAAACCTACATGCCTCATGTAGTAGCATTTAACTGATGACCTCATGCACTAACTTGCCAGGATTTAATGTGTGTCTGGTTTTCAGAGGGTTAAAAAATAATTCTCCGGTTAGGAAAGTAATTCAGCTTCTGAGTATATTTTGTCTATTTTGTCTACTGCAAAACCAAGTTGCTTTTTTATTCTTCTTTAATGGGATGTCACTAGATTTATAACTAAATCTCAAATACTATAAACTAATACTGATTTTTTCTCCCATTGTTTATTTCTTAACCATGAGAACTGGAAGTTTTTCTAGTCTTTTTTGTATAGGACAATGCAGATTTAAATGGGTGGGTGTTGGATATGTTTCTCCACAGCTTACAGTGGAACATATGGTGCTTCTCTGCACTGGAATAGTTGAGATTGGTGTGGAAGTTTGCCATTTGATAGTTCTTTTTTCTTAGTACCACTTCACTGAACATAGGGAAAAAAAATATAACAAAATTAAAGATCATACAACCTTGTTGCAATATTTCAGTGTGAAACTTTGGAAACATGTGTCAGCATTCAAATTCTGAAATGTTTTCCAGACTGAGCTAGATGAAAACTAGCATTTGTGAGCTGGGGACAGTAAAATCACTTTAAAGGAAAACAGTGTAATTTGGTGACTTCTGCAGTGTGAGAACCAAATATAGTAGGTTGTAAGCAAGTGTAGCCTGCTCTGTTAATTAATTAGAATGCTGGTCAAGTTCTGGTATCAGTACAATTTTCAAAATATTTTGAAAAAATAAGAATAACTGTGTTTAAAACGTTAACAGTTTATTTGTAAAGGTATGGGCTTTGTGTGGGGTTTTCTCTCTAAGCAATTGGTGTTACTGCAAAAAAAAGTTAAATGAGCTTCTTCATTTTTGATTTCTATTTTTTTTCCCTTTTAAAGATGCTTATGCCATCTCATGCTTAAAAGAAAGGAAAAATGTCTAGCTCAAGTTTCAGCACAACCAATTGTTCTTCTGCCAAAGAAATTATTTTAATCTGTAATGTAGTCTTCAATTAACTTGTGTTTAAATAAAAGGGATTTCAGAAGGTTTACTTTCCAGCCCCGTTACTGAGAGACAGATTCAAAATTATGCTTTAACATAGTGCCACAAGGTGAACACTTAAAAGTGTGGTTAAACTGAACAGTTGCTTTGACTTTTCAATTGTCAAAACACTTTCGAATCTGAAATTACTTTGAAGATTTTCTTTCTACATGTTTTGTGAGTTTTGCGTCATTACTAGACTGAATATGATGACCAGGATAGTAGGGTTTCACCTTAAATCTGAGTCTGTTGGTTGGTAAAGGATTTTATTGGTAGCATACTGGAAGGGCCATTTTCTATGCTCTTGCAGTACTGGCTTGCAAAATAGTGTTGGGTTTGCATTGTTTAGTTTCTGTCAAGTGACATAAAAGTTAGTGCCACCACTGTGCCCTCACATCCATGTACATTGTACTAAAGTCTGAAGCTGGGTTAACACAAGTTAATAATTTATCCCCAAGTGACTACAGCTGTGTTACTTTATGATACATCTCTTCCACAGACACCAAAGATGCTAACAAGGAAGATTAAGCTTTGGGACATTAATGCCCATATAACCTGTCGTCTGTGCAATGGATACCTGATTGATGCTACTACTGTAACAGAATGCTTGCATACTTGTAAGTAGAAGTATAATTAAGTTAAAGTTGCTGTCTGTTTCTGTTTGTTTCTGGTTTTGTTGGGTTTTTTTTTGGTTTGTTTTTTTTTTGGTTTTTTTTTGTTTGTTTTTTGTCCTAAACTTGATATGCAACATGTTGTAATGGTTTTCAGTTGAAATTTAAAGTAACTATTGTGCATCAGCCAAAAAGAATGTGCTTTACTAGACTCCTTTTCTTTAACAGATTATTTGCTTTTTTAACAAAGCAAATGGAGGGAATATTAAAGCTGTGCTACATAAACTTGAAGCCATATACAATTAGTGGTAATGTAACTATTCAAGAATGCAGTCTGTCTTCATGCTAAAGGAATGTGGAATACCTAGTTCTGTCTTCTGTGGCTGTTGATGTAGCATCTGTTCTCCACCTGGAGCCTTTCAGATGTCTCTTTCTCTCCCATTCCTCTGCAGAAAACTGAGGAATGGGAGAGAAATATCAATAAAGAATATCAATATCAATATCAATAAAGAATCAATAAAGAATAAGTATGTTGTATTGTATCCTAGAAGTAAGATTGTATTCCAAAACACTGTGATAAAGTAGTTGTTTATTGATAAGTTACTCTGTGAATTTCTGTTTTTATGTAAGCGAAGGATGGCTTAAAACCTTGCAATCCATCCCACGTTTTAAAATTGTTCTACCACAATATTTATGTTTATTCTGATAAAGCTAGTAGGTTGTTTAATTAGCTTAATGATTTAGTCCTAAATTTTCTTGGAAGGCAATAATTTGGTGACTGTGTGTTTATCATAAAACAAAAAGTGTTAGCACCTTTTATATCTGACAAAGGGAAAGGGCAATGCTTATGATTTTACAGTGATTATGGTTTTTATTATATTCCGTTTAGAAGCTCAGTTTATCAGCCTTGATAAATGTGTTCCACTTGTCACACTTCATGTTGTTCTAAATATCCTCATAGAATCTAGGATAGCAGAAGGATTTCTTCCACGATTCTAAGAATCACAGAATGGTTCTGGAATCTATATTCAATCCCCTGGCCGTGGGCAGGGTCAGCATCTACTGGATCAGGTTGCTCCATGTCCCGTATAACCTGGCCTTAAATGCTTCCAGTGATGGTATGTCCACAGCTTCTTTGCCAGTTACCCTCACAATAAACAAATTCTTTCTAATATCTAATTTGAATGTATATTCCTTCAGAAGGAAGCCATTTCCCCTAGTCCTCTCAGTACATGCCCCTGTACAAAGTTCATTTCCATCTCTCATGTCGTGCCCTTCAACTTTTGGAAGACTGCTTTAAGGTGTCTTCAGAGCCTTCGTGCTTTCTGTCTCAATTTCTGTGATATTGTTTTCAGAGTTACACTTAGTTTTGCCCAAATTTCTTTACTGCTGCTAGTTAGAAGATTGTATCCAAAATGAGTATCATAACAAGTTAACATAGCTGACAGAGAGCTAGAGAGAGGTAATTTTTTATTGTTCTTTAAAAATAAAACAAAACCTCACAAATACCCCTCAGCTCATATCATCTGCACCATCTCTTACATTTGCTTATGGAGGAAATACGTAGATGCACAGCTCTACAGCGCTTGCTGCAAAAGTCAGGAAATGCACCTTACTACCTTTTCCTGCTATTTTTTTTTTCTGGGGTTTTCTTTGGGTTTTTTCTCCCTTATTTTGACAGTTTATATTTTATGAATACTACTTCACTCTGTGCTCTGTAGAATTAGTTTTCTGAGAAGAGGTACAGAGTCTCGTCTTTTAAACAAAACTTCATACATGTTGGCATTGTTTGCATTGTTTAAGAGAATGCTAATAACATATGCTCCTGGAAAAGCATCCTTGCAAAATCCATCATGGAATTACCCTGTCTGTTGAGATAGTGAATTCTCTTCTAAATTATACCACCTTGAAATTTTCATTCTCTTCTACTCAGAACTGCACATTTTTCTTGCCTTTTCAATTTTTTCTCTAATTTACTGATCTTCAGCCATTCAAAGACTCTTCAGTAGTAAATGAAGTTCTTGAGTCCTTTAGTGAAAGTAATTTGGAGGAGCAAGGCCAGTCCTCTAGAGGAACAGCAGAAATTTTTGTAAAACTGAATTTAGGAGAACACAAAGCATTTTCACTTTCTTTCCTACTTATTTCTCTGCTGTGGTTTAAGTTTGCTGGTGACAGGTAGGCCACTAAGTCAGTTGATAAAAACTTCATTAGTAGTAACTAAAAAAAAAGTCCTAAGTCTTTTTTTATTTTGTATCTGTTCCTTGATTAAACTTCTAGGCTAGATGATATATGCAAGTCTTGTTAAACTTTGTGTTTATATATCAGTTTTGCTAGTGTTTAGTGTGAAAGCTGTCCTTCTATGTTATGAAAGGGAAAACCTCACATGAAACCTATCATCTTCTGAGCACATCAGGATGATAAAAGGTCTATTTGAACTAGACACGGGAATGAAAAAAGTCAAGAGACGTGAAACTGTTAAAATAAAAAAGTGAGCATTAGCGTTCCCTGTTCCTATTCTGATGAAACCTCTCTGATGTGTTTAAGAAATCAGAAAATGTACAGCTCAGTTCATGTCCACAATCAGTGCCTGTATATTTGGGTAAACAGAAATCAGAGATACTGGAAAACCAAAGTAATGGAAAATTCTAGAAATAATATAGTTTCAGACCATAGAACGTTTTCTGTGTTGCCTGTCCATTACTCCAAAGACTTCTAGTTTCAGGAAAGTTTATAATCCCAACCTGATCCCAGAAAAAAATAACCTAGATACTGCATCACCCTTCATAAGCCATCTAGTGGTTTTATTTGGCATTTATTTATTCCTTTATTTGGCATTTATGTATTCAGTCTGTGCTCAGACTAAAACCTGCCAGAACACTGGCTAACTTGTGACCAGTTCATTTTAGGAGGAGTTAGTGTTTACCTAGTCCAAGCTGGAGTATGTACTAACATGGGATAATGTTTTAGATATCACAGAATGGTTTGGGTTGGAAGGGACCTATAAAAGTCACCTAATGCATCACCACTGCAATGGGCAGGGGTATCTTCAGCTGCATCAAGCTGCTCAGACTCCTTGGTGAGGCTGTGCTGGCTGTCTAGAGTCATCTCCTTGTCCTCTATGTGCCTTAGCACAGTTTCTAGGAAGATCTATTCCATGAACTTCCCAGGCACAGAGTTAAGGCAGACAGGTTGGTGATTTCCAGGTCTCTCTCTCCCTTTCTACCACTTCCTAAAAGTAGAAGCAATGTTTCCCTTTTTCTAGTCACCAGAGATTTCACCTGACTGTCAGGACTATCGCTGTTAGAGGCTTGGCAGCTACATCAGCCAATTTGAGATCCTGGAAAACATCTCATCAGGTCCCAGAGACTTATATGTATTCACATGCCCAGGTGTTCATGAGTCTGATCTTTTCACACAGTAGAAAGGACTTTGCATCCCCATTGCCTCCTTCGTCTATGCAAGAGCTGTGGGAAGAGAAATTGCTAGAGAAGACTTGAGGCAGAAATATTGAATACCTCAGCCTTCTTCTTGTCCATTGTTACTGGTTTGCCAATCGTGTTTATCTGGGGGTTACACATTCTCTGACCCTTATAATGCTTCATATCCCTGCCAAGTTCAGATTCCGATGTGATTTGGCCTTTCTGACCCTTCTCTACCCAAGTTAGCAACATCCCTATACCCTTTTCAGGATACCTGTCCCTGCTTACTCTGTCACATTCTGCTTTTTTTGACTCATTAGGAATAGAGTTTGGCATCACTTTTGCAAATGGATCTATTGTTCTGGCATTTTGCTGGAACAAACTGCTGTGCAAGATGAGGCTTTGTCTAACTTTTGCCACCAATAGTGCTGTCATCCTAGGTGTGTAAATGCAAAACATAATGCAAAGTTATAGTACTTCATTTACTGTTACTTCTGTTTTTAGTCAATGGGTGTTTATGTAATTGCACTGTCTTCTTGTTTGAGAGGTAGATGGCACTATAGTTACAGAAATCCTTTCATTTTGTGTGATAAGTGCACTAATACCAAGACTACATGAACTAATCACTTCAAGAAAACCTCCCTTCTTTCCTCCATACCTTTAACGTTGTAACTTCAAGTGAGTGAGGATATCATGTAGTAGTGTATTTTATGAGTACTGATTTGGGGCAGGAGAGGAGAGTGGTGTATAAATAATTTACTTTTAGAATAATCAGAAGGCTGATTGTGTGTATGCATATAGAAACATGCAGCTTAATAGTGAATGACTACTTTAGCAGCTCCTGGCAGGACATTTTTACTAATAATGAGGGTCTGTGACAATATATATATTTTTTTTTTCTGGTGGAATTTCAGCTGTAGTATACTCTGTGGAAGTTAGAATTTAAATAACACCCAGATATCCATTTTTCTGCTTTGGAATTCTGCTTGGAACACACTTGTTCTGTATGTGGCCATGGTTAAAGCAAGTATGTTTTGTTTAGTATCTTAATGGCAAATAGTTCCTGTAATGTTATCCATGCAAGCTGAATGTTGACCTGCTAGAGCTTGTTCTAGTAAATTTTGAAGTGATATTTTGTGTTGGATTCTGTGTTAAGGTTTTTGATAGGTGTGGATGCTTTAATTTAGTGCATCCATTTCCTTCATCAGGAAAATTTATGAAAGGTACTGGAAACTGTATTCTGCAAGATTTGACACGGTGCACATATTATGTAGAAAAATGAACTTCATGTAAATTTCAGTAATGTGCATTCTGTGACTGTGTAAAACCAGACTTCTATTATGCTACTTTTATTTTTATGAATGTCTTTTTTACTAGTCTGTAGAAGCTGCCTAGTGAAATATTTGGAGGAAAACAACACCTGTCCAACCTGTAGGATTGTTATACATCAGAGCCACCCATTACAGTATATTGGGTAAGTATAAAAGCAGAACTGCAAGTAGCTTCACTCTAGACTGGTTCATCCCCTTGATACAGTACAGCTTCTCTCAATATTTTCATTCTTGCTTATCAGCATGTTACACATTGAAAAAGAAGTATGAAGGAGATTGGGGAGGAGATAGAGGATGAAACTTCCACTATGAGTTTGCAAGGCCATAGCATGGTAGCTTGTTCCAGACTTACAATAAAGTGAACTGTACACTCAAATGTTTAATTTCTGTGTGATTTTTATTGGGATATAGTCATTCCTCATTTTGTATGCTTGGGCTGTAAAAATTATATATATGAAACATTTTTAGGAAATATACTTTTTAAAAAAATATCAAAAATTAGTCTGAGTTGAACGGTGCTTTTCAGTGTCTGACAGTAGTAAGAGAAATAATTTTCAGTTTTATTGTTTAGTTAATCTTTCAAAGGTCTGCTTAGGTTGTAGGAGCAGATAAGAATGTCATAGAATCATCATAAAATGGCTTGGGTTAGAAGGGCTCTTTGAGACCATCAAGTTCCAACTAACCTGCTGTGAGCAGGGACACCTTTTACCTAGACCAGGTTTTTCAAAGGTCTATAAAGCCTGGACTGAACCCCACCCCACCCCTCCCCTTTCTGGGGGTGGGGTGTGCACAACTTCTCTGGGCAACCTCTTCCAACCTTGCCACTCTCACTGAAGAATTTCAACTTATTATCTAACCTATATCTGTCACCTTTTCGTTTAAAACCATTTCCCCTTGTCCCATGACTACATGCTTGTGTAAAAAGTCTGTTTCCAGCCTTCTTCTGGGTTCCCTGCATGTACTGGAAGGCTGCTCTGAGGGTTCCCTGCAATCTTCCTTCTCCAGGCTCTACAGCTCCAACTTTATCAGCTTGCCTTCACAGAGGAGGAGGTCCATCCTTCTCGTCATTTTCATGGCTCTCCTCTGGACTCACTCCAACAGGTCCACATCCTTCTTATTTGGGGGCCCCAGAGCTGAAAGCAGTGGTCTAGGTGGGAGCTTTTGAAGGCAAAGTAGAAGGACAGAATCACCTGTTTCCATCTGCTGCCGAGTTTCTTTTGATGCAGCCCAGGTTGCAGTTGGCTTTCTGGACTACAAGCGCACATTGCCGAGTCATGTTGATTTTTCCATTTGCTAATAGCCCCAAGTCCTTCCCCTCAGAGCTGCTCTCAATTACTTCTCTGCCCAGCCTGTATTTGTGCATGGGAGTACCCCAGTCCAGGTGCAGGACTTTGTACTTGGCCTTGTTGAACTTTGAGCTTCACATGGACCCACCTCCTATGCATTCTTTCCTTCCAGCATGGTCACTGCCCCACACGGCTCAGTGTCACTGGCAGATTTGCTGAGGGTGCCCCTCAATCCCACTGCCACTGACAGAGATGTTAAACAGCATTGGTCCCAGTACTGACCCCTGAGAGACAGCACTTGTGACTGTCTCCTCTTGGGCATTGAACTGTTGATCACAGCTTTTTTGAGCCAATTCCTTCAACAAGCGCTGCATTAGTCAAATCCATGTCTCCAGGCAGGGACAAAGATGTTGTGCAGGACAGCATCAAATGATTTGCACAAGTCCAGGTAGATGCCACGGCTCACCCTTTCCTCATCCACTGTCTCTGTAACCGCATCATAGAAGACCACCAAATTTGTCGGACACGGTTTGCTCATAGTGAAAGCCATGTTGGCTGTCGCCAGTCACCTCATTTTCCATCTTCATTTGCATAGTCAAACTGCATGTTCACTAAGTATTTTTTTTGGTTTTTTTCCCTCCTTTTCTTGTCAGAAAAGACATTATCTTTCTTTTCCTTGAGTGCTTTCTTTCAATTTTACTCCTGCTGATGAAAATACATTGTAATGGTGTGTCTGCATTAGCTGTTGCCTATCAACAAGTAGTGTTTTGTCTTCCATTATAAAGAATTTGTGTTTGTTCATAGCATTTTTCAATGTGCCTTTTTCACTTCTGTAACAATATCTCAAGCAATGGTTTAGCAAATGAGTCTGATTGCACTTTTACAGAAAACTGTCAATGTTCTATACACACTTTATTCCTCAAGCTCATCCTTATTCAGGAGCCTGAAACTAAGTATGCTGTCTCCACATTTATATAATACACTCATACTTCTGTATGAGTGTATAATTAAAGGGACAGGTACATGCAAATAGGCAAGAATTAATAAATGACATGTAAGACAACATGTTTGCCTTGGTTCAAAAACCTGGTTTTTGTGTAAAAAGGGGCCAGGAAACAACATGATATTGACAGCTAAAAGGCAATTTGTTTTTTATTGTTGAGTACATTTTTAGCTTAAGTAAGCTGCTTAACCTGGTTGTATAATATTGCCCCATTGCAACTGAAACAGACTTTGTCCAGCCTACTTTTGGATATATTTATTTACCTCTTTTAAAAAATAATTGACGGTCTGGAATTTCACAAGGTGTTTGAAAATGGAGATTTAAACTCCTATTCATCTCTGTCTGACAAATAGGGAGACCAAATGTGTCTCCTTGTTTGCATTTCTAAATACTGTTAAATAGCATCATAGAATCTTAAAGTCTTTGTGACCTTAGAGATCATCTGTATGATGTACTTCCAACCCACAAATTGTCACCTCTCATTTAATGGTGATGTCTTGCTTATTTTTGTTCAAATTTGGCAATGTGTTTGCAGTCCATATGTGATGCTGCATAATCCCAGCCTGTACAAATGGCATTGCTACTGGTGAAAATGCCATGAATTTAGGATAAGTAATATTCTGAATCATGTTGTAGTGCTACTTAGAATATTGTAATTACTCTTCGTAAATGTCTTGATTTGTCACCATTTCTGTACTTGCTTACTGATCTCCACTGCTGTGAAGTGCTCATGTCAGGTGATAAGAAGCCTGAGACTACTCTTTTAAGCCTTTTCTGTTCAAGTCTGATTCAGGACTTGATACTACAGACACTTTTGAGGTAATGACATTGCAGCAGTCAAGGCAGACACTTGAAATGCTTTTTACACTATTTCTTAATAGGAATTTAATGAAATATTTAATTTCTTTGAGATCATAACTTATTTTAGACTAGAACAGAACTTTCTAGGTGATCTGGGGATTAAAGTTTCGAATCTTAACTGGCCCTACTGTTCTCCTTGTAATGGGATTATTACCTTTTTTTTCATTTGAGCCACACTACTGCTACAGGCTACTTAGTTACATAATGTTTCTCACAGTTACTTTGTCCTTTTAAAACAAAGTAAAATTTAGTTGTTGTGGTCTTTTTCTGTGAATTTGTCTCATGCATTTTAGAAGAATCCTAGTAAAGATAACTAATCTAGGAATGTGAGAAATTAGTCTATAGGAGTGAGAAACAAGCTATTATTGATTCTTTTCTAATAAAAATGAGTTTATCTCTAAGCTGAAAAAGAATTTTAGATTATTACTGGCATACTTGTCTTAATGCAGAAGAACATACTCAGTGGGGTGAATTCTTATACAGCCTAGTCTTTCTCAAATTTCCATTTGTTTCCTGTCTTAGCTTGTACTTTTTCATGTTTTCTTTTATATTGTTGTTTCTGGTTTGATAGAAATACTGATTGAGAAGTAAAATTCTTTTTAGGTGAATTTAGAGATTGTTGCATATGGATAGTACTGGAATTTTTTTAAGAGAAATGTTTTCCATAAAGATCGTGAACTTAAGTTTTTCATTTTGTTATTGGTTTTTTGGTTTTTTTTTTCCTTGCTAGTCATGACAGAACAATGCAAGATATTGTTTACAAACTTGTGCCAGGCCTCCAAGAAGGTAAGTTGTGGTGTGACCTTTTTAAAGGTCAGTTTGCACATACTTCTTTGATATTAAAAAAAAAAAGAAAGTTTCTAGTGATGAAAAAGGAGGCAGGGGGGCAACTGAGAAAAAATACAGTGGAAAACCAGACTCTTTCACTTGTGTAATTTTTAGCAATTAATTTGATTTCATACCTGTACTAGCAGCAACTCAGTGTGGGGGTGGTGGGAGGCAACATAGGATGTTTCTTCCAAAAGCAGTATTATGTAAAGCAGAATAGTCATTCAGCTTTTGAATGTTGCCATACCATAACTCTAATTTGTTTCTGTTAAACTGTATACCTGTTGTGCAAGCTTTCTAGAATTCTCAGAGGTAAAATGCAATTTTTAAATGCTTTTGGTTTCTGCTATTTTGAGAGTTCTTTCATATTAGAAAACGTTCAATTACTGTTTTCATAATCCTCTTTGATGCTAGATCTGTTAGACTAAAGAAATACTTTATAAATATTACTCAGTGGGTTTTTTTGTCTTAACATATGTTAAAGCTTTCATTTAAATAGAATAGTTTAATCTATTGAAGCTGCTTTTTAACCAGAACATTTTCAAACATCAGTGTGATTAAATAGATACTTAAAAAAATATTTTTGGGATATTGAAAATCAGAATGATGAATAAAAATTCAAAAGCAATGTTTTGACTGAAATACGGTCATATTCAAAATAGGGAATATTCAAAATTAGCTGCTAATTTAAAATTAGTATTTTAAATTCCATCTCATTCTAGCAGTAATAATATAATAGTAGTTATACAGATAACTTTATGCTTTTATAATTCTGAAAAATTAGATTAGGCATAACTTGATGCCATAGGAGAGAGAGAGGACAGTAAATAATGACACCACCACCACTTGTTGGCAATCCTTAAGTGGGAAGGGATTTGGAATAACTTCATAAATATTGCATTAGAACTTTATTACAGGGATTAATATTTGCAATTTTAAACAGCGGAAATGAAAAAGCAGAGGGAGTTTTATCACAAACTGGGCATGGAAGTTCCAGGGGACATCAAAGGGGAGACATGCTCTACAAAACAGCACCTAGATTCTCATCGAAATGGTAAATGGTCCTTTATTTATTCTGTCTTTGGTGGGTGACATATAGTAAATTGATAAACAGATCTGTTGGAAGTCTGTGCCCAGTGTGTATATTACAGTCATAATTGTTTCCTAACAGCGAGGAATAGAGGCAGCATAGGATTGTTGCCTTGTCCCTTATTTGTGCGTGGAATTTTTGGTTTTAGCTGTTAATAGCATGTTTCTTGTGGCAAAGTTGGTCTCTGTAGTAGTGCCTACGTGGGGACTGTGAAATGACCCAGCTTCTGCGCCGCTAGCAGATGAACTCCATAGGTGTTCTCCTTTTCATGTCATGGGCTGTTGCCTGCAAGTGTTGCTTGAGCCAATAAGCACAATTTGGGAATAGCAAAGCTTTTTCTATACTGTGGTCCTGAATTGTGCTGTTTTAATTGTATTAGCACTGTAAGCTGCTGCTGAGTATATCTGGGGTTTATACATGAAGATAATATATTTGTATCCCATATATCTGGGTTTTTTTATCTAAGGTGAAACTAAAGCAGATGAAAATATAAATAAAGAAACTTCGGAGGAAAAACAGGAAGAAGATAATGACTACCACCGAAGTGATGAACAGGTGGGCTCATAGGGCATGCTCTAGTTTTATCTTGTGTTTTAGCTGTTGGGTTTTGGTAAGGTAACTTTGATTATCTAACAGAATAAGCTTCTTTCAAGCTACTTTTTCTGTTCTCTGATACAAACACGATGCAGTTTGGGCAATGCTTTTCTGTAAGCATGAGGTTTTACCTTTGGGTTTTGACAGGAATAGAGAATATGTTCAAAACTTCATGCAAATGTTTTTGTAGTTCTGACTGTTTATGAGTCTTCAAAGTTTGCTGTCAAAACAAATTCATGTAATTTTCTACCTTCTACAGGAGCGTACCTCAGTGTCACCACGATACATTAAGCTGAATGTGTATGGATAATTATGAATTAAACCTCTGGCATTGTTAACACATTCAGTGCAGGTAGCTCAGGGTGCAGTTGCAATGGGAGCTGCAGGCTGAGCTCTGGATGGGAGCCAGAGGCCATGAACTGCCAACCCTTGGCACAGGGAAGGGCACAGGGACCTGTGGCAGCAGGCTGGGGACTGGACACTGAGGCACAGCAGGAGCTGAGACCCCCAGACTTTGGTGCTGTGAGGGTACAAAAACCCAGGGGTTCCTTTGTTCAGGGCCCCTTCTCAGAGGCACCAGCTGGAGCTGTTGTTATTTACTTACTGCACCATGATTAAGCTATTTGAAGGACCTGGATGTCCAAGAATCTGCTGTGGGAAACCTGGGGTTGAGCTGGTAAGGAATCCTGGTCTGAATGTGAGTGTGAGGGGTGTAGCTGTGAAGGGGCTTCAGTCCCAGCTTAGGTGATGTGAATGTGACTGGCAGAGCGGCTCCTGGATGGTCAGACAGGTTTCCTTAACAGCACTCTTACTAACTTATTACATATTTTGTTTTCAGCCTTTAATACTAAGCCAGTATTAGCCCTGTATCATAAAAATATCATAAAAGCAGGGAACCCCATTGTTAAGTTCTAAACACAAAACTTGTTTGAACTCCCTTTTGTATAAACAAGCCATGCCTTTTATATTTTCTGGTTATGTGTGTCCAGAGTAACTTTAGCTTGGGTTAATTTTCTTCTCAGTTGCCACATAAGAGAACTTTCAAAGGGATTGTACTTGGTAGTAGATCCTCCTAGTGCAATACAAGCAAACCATCACAAAAAGTTTAGACTGTAATGAGTAGCTGGATGGTAAAAGAAGTGAGAATTTGAAATATTTGCCATATCATCTGTATTCATTCTTTTTAAAGATGCTAAAATTAAACTAGATTAGCATTTGCATTAACTGCAAGAAGTTAAGCTAGAAGCAATCATTAAGAATGGACAATGGTTTTCTTACTCTGTTTTCTTGCTCTAGCTTTTAACACGTGGTCCTCTTAAGATATTGACAACCTATGAATTTCGACTGAAGCAGCTTTGTTCCAACATCAAAAATTACTGCTTGAACATTTTTGTCTTATTACTTACCACTCAGCTTACGAAATCTTATAAAATGTTGTTTCCTTACTAGGCATTTCAGTTTAAAGAACACTAGTACTGTAGTTCACTGTATTGGATTAATAAAAAATGCATGTGGAGTACATAATGGGGACTGCAGACAATTGTTGATTTTTTTGCCTGTTCCTGAAGGTAAGCATCTGCTTGGAGTGCAATAGCAGCAAACTGCGTGGATTGAAACGAAAATGGATTCGTTGCTCTGCACAAGCAACAGTCTTGCATCTAAAGAAGTTCATTGCCAAAAAACTCAACCTTTCTTCTTTTAATGAGGTAATATTTTAATTTTTAAAAATAAGCTTACAGATAAAAAAACCTGAAAGGGGTGAGCTTGTTCCTTTGCAAAAGGATGTCTTTTTATTCTGATTTTATTTTCAGAAAACAGAAGCATACACTGTTTCTTGAATTATATGTTATATGCCGATTTTCTTGTCCTTTCTTGGGTCTGTACAGGACTTTCCAGTTAGTTTGTAGTGCATCTTTTCACGTGCATTTATAGGTAGTTGAGCAAAAAGGCTTGGTTATGTGTTTCCACATGTGTTGAAATGGACTCTGGCAAGATGATTTGTTTGGTAGATTGTAGTTGAGTTTATCCCCAGCATTTGCACTCTACAGGGGCCAGACAGAAGCCAACACTTCAGCACTGAAGCCTAGTTGAAGAGAAAGCACCACAAATACATTGTTCTTTTCTGTTCTCTTAGTGAAGCTCAGTCTGAAGTTGCTGCCTACCACAACCAGAGTCTTTGCAGGGTATCATGGGAATAATTTAAGTTGAAAGGTACAGTAGGAAAGAAAGTTCAAATACTTTGAACTTCTCCTAGACCAGATTCAAAAATTAAAAGTGGCAAACTATGAATGTAGCCCCTGTTTATCACTTGGCTGGATCTTGGTAACAGTTTCTGGACATCTCTGTTGACTCTCAGCTTGACATCTCTGAATTCCATATTATGACAGTGATTCACTGAATTTTATTAAGACATTTCATCCAGATCAAATCATCTGCTTGCTAGACCAGTGTGTCAACACTTTGCTGCTCGAACTTGTCAACAGCCAATTTGCATCTCTATCACTTTTCCTTCATAGCTTCTGTATGTTTCAAACTAACACTCTCTTTATCTTATGGTTCAAGTATATCCCCAAACTCTGCCAGTCTTCCTGAAACAAAACCATGTGTCCCGTCTTGTCATCAGCTAGCTCAGAGGTGGCTGACTCCTGGCTTTAGCCCAGCAGCTGCATAACTACAAGGAATGTTTCAAAAGGGTTTTTAAAATATTTTCTTTTGGTATATGCATGTATAAGCCCTCCATTGCAGTGTGCCAAGATGTGAGTTAAAAATCTACTTGGTTTCTACTGAACTTTTTCGGAGCACTGTTTATTTCTCTGTTAACCCTTTCTGTCTTCTTAAGAAGTGTAATTGTTGTACCAGTACCAAGTAACATAGAAGGAGAATTTGAGCTTGTGGTTACTTGGTTGCTTGATACAGACTATTCCAGGTTTGAGTTACTGCCATGTAAGTAGACTGCATGCAAATTCAGGCCTTTCTGAGCTATGGAGTAAAGCACTGTAACACAAGCCACCTTGGTGGAACTTGCTGTTTTCATACACATTCCCTGGTTTTATCATGTTCAGATATTGTAGTTCAGCTGATTAGTAGTCATATGATCCTCCTTCTTTTATGTTGAGATCTTCCCTGTTTCTAATATAAAGATTTTTTTAAAGTGGAGATAGAAAACAAAAAATACTTGTTGAGTATCTGTAAAACCCCTGTAAATATAGCACATAGTATATGGCAGACAGTGTTTTTTAATAAAAGTCTGTCCTTGTAACAATGCCATCTGACTGGTTGTCATGGTTTGACACTGGCACAATGCCAGTGCCCCCATGAAAATGCAATTTCTCAATTGAATGCTGTAAAATGCAATTGAGAACAGAGCAAAGCAGGCCTAAGCTCAATAACAAGAAAGAAATTTTATTAGCTACTATTACTATACTATTATAGAAGGAAAAAGAAAGAAAAAAAAACCACATACACAAAAAATTAAAATGAAAACCTTCTAAAGCATTCTTCCTCCTACTATCTACTTCTAACAAACTACAGTGAGACACAACTTGGACCCAAATCAGGTTTCTACTCTCTAGATAATTGATTTTCAGTCTATTGAGGGAGAGAGGAGTCCCTCCTGTGCCACAGATCCCCCAAGAAACACAGCTGCCACATCCTGTGCTTCTATGTCACCACATGGCACCTCCCAGAGAAGAAAGTTTGCTAATGGTGACCCTCTCCTTTCCATGCACAGTGCTCTCACCACCAATGCATGGATGGACAGACTGCTTTTAGGATTTTTCCTTTCAAAGATGCCCTGCCAAGAGGGGAAAAACAACAGTTCAGTTTTTCATTTTTAGGACCACAGTCCTCCCCATTTTCCCCTGGAGCCGAGGGTCCAAGAACAGAGATCTTCTTCTCTTCTTCTTCTCTGAAGACAGGGGGCACTACTATAAACCTCCCTAGCTTTTCTCTGTTCGCTCCACTTCTGTCTTTTCCCAGCTGAAGCAGGTCTCTTTGGCTCACCAGCATCCTCCTAAAATACAGTCTCTCTTGGAGGAGAAGATCAGTTCAGTCTGTGGCTACTAAGAAAAAGTCTAGCCAAAAAGCCACTCCATCATCTCCTCCCACCTAGAACTTTTCCTTCTAGCATCCCAGGGTCTAAGTTGTCTGTCTTCCTCTCTTTCAAACTGAGGAGGAGAAAAATTTCACAAAGCTTTCATTTCTCAGGAAGGGTTAAAAGTCCCGACTCCCAGAGATGGCTCACTGCCCAGGCTCCAGCTCCCACAGCCCGGCTGGGCACCTTGTGGCCCCCCCGCTCTTCTCCTTCCCCGCGGTGAACTGCTGATAAAACCACCGCCGTCTCTTTTTCTCTCTTGGGAGAGGGAGACTCTGGGGGGAATGGAGACATCCCAGATTTCTCCACCCTTCCATCTGCAGGGGGCCAGCCCGGTTCCAGTCCCTCCACCCTTGGGCCTACCTCCGAAGGCCACATGGCTTCTCCCCTCCCCACCCAGCCACAGGCCGGGCAGGGGAGAGGCTGCACTGCACGCTGACCAGATCCAAAGAGAGCAGAGAGCGAGTTCTCCTGGGAATTCTGCTTTAGCCCCTCTGTGTTCTCAGAGGCGTGTCCACCTTCAATTGGTCAATGTCCAAATTGACCTGTTCCTTCCGGAAAAATTCTTTTTCTGTGTCAAACCACGACACTGGTATTAGCTAAAAAAAAATTCATAGTATGCTAAATAACAGCTCTCTTTGACATTTCTGTCCCCCTGGTTCATGTATTCAAACTTTTCAAATGTATGTAAAGCTTTCAGGAAAGTATCTTAGTACTGCTTGGGAAGATAAACATTAAATCCATATCATACTATATTTCTCAGGCAGGCATTGACATGGTCTTTCAGTTCTGGATGTTGAGAACAGATATTATCTTTTCATTCCTGGTATGACTTTTGTCTGCAGGGCAACTTCAGGATTACCAGTTCCAGTATCTTCAAAGAAAAAAAGTCGTGTCAAATGTGTAGTATTATGTGAAATATGCTGTTTGGTCCCAATGAATTAACTGTCACCTTTATTTTGTCAGCTGGACATATTATGCAATGAAGAGATTCTTGGCAAGGACCATACGCTCAAGTTTGTAGTTGTTACTAGATGGAGATTTAAGGTATGACACATGCTTCAATGTAAATCATGAAGTGGATAAATAAAATTCTTATAAAATAGCAATAATTTGGAACTATACTGTGGTATACGTTTATAGAAGGTACTTTTAGTAATATTTACTACAATATCCTTAGGCACCAAGTATTTATTTGTTTCCAGTAAATGAAGGAAAGGAAAATTAAGTATTTGTTGCAAGAGAAAAGAGAACACTGCATTAGCTGTCAAATTGTTATCAAGTCTGTCAGAGGAAGTAGAAGCTACAAAATGTATTAATTTTAACCCTTTCAGGCAGTAAGACTGAACAGCAGAACTGAACACTTAGGAGGGAAGTCAACACTGAATAGAGTCAGTGTATGTATACCTGGAGTTATTGGAACTTGAAGTTTGTATTTGTAATGCAAAAGCAACATATTCTAAGCATACAGCGTACACTGAGGTGAAATCACTCAGTGGCTTTGGATGCATATCTAGAAGAGGTCCATGTGGGAGTAAAGTATTTTTCTATTTTGGAATTACAAAATAATTGACACGTGTAAGAGTCACAGGATAAAGTCAATGTCTGTTAAAAATGCAGAGATGTCACATGTGAAATCCTGCTGGAATCTGTTTCATATGGTGTTTCTGAATGACCTGGAAATGGATCTGAGTAGTTCATTACCAGTGCAGTGACATCATTGTCATTAATTAATTAAGTTAGTGACAGATTGATGATAAAGTATTAGATTAAGTCTTTACAGTTCTGAGTGACAGACACCTGAAGTTAAATGTAGGTGTAGGTAAAATGCAAACTTTAGGGTTTTGTGGTGTCACAGAGAGAACCAAACAGGAGTATCAAACTGATGTGCATCTGTACAGTCTCCTCTTCACCCGTGAGTGATCTGTGTAATTTTGAGTCATGTGGAAAGCAGAACTGTAAACTGCCTTCCTAAGTGAAAGAGGTGGTGGATGTAAAATGGAACTGAGACAAGAAGGTCCAGAACAAACAAGCTGAAGTAATTGTTTTTATGAGACACAGAAGTCCATGGTGCAGGATCTTGTGGTTGTTAAAGTTTGCCTATTCATAAAAAAAATCAACAGATGCTTTCACAGAAGAGGAATCAAGTGAGAGCTATTAAATGTGAAGTACCACATACTCTAATGTTGCTTTCTAGACATCCCTTACTTCAGGGAGTTTTCAAAGATAAACAGATCTGCTCCTGAGATAAAGGGGAAAGGGTTCTTTATCACTTGTTTGAGTCCCACAGATGAAGTTACACCTTTTCTTTGTCTTGGTGATTTTTTGACTGATCAGATAGTGCTCTTGCCTTTAATTGAAGCTTTAGTTTATGACACAGACGTTTTCCTGCTGAACAGATTAGTTCTGGATTTGTTTCTTAACTTACTGGTATTTCTGTCTTGCAGAAAGCACCTCTACTGCTACATTATAGACCCAAAATGGACTTGCTGTAAGGGAACTTTACTGTCCTTCTGGACAGAGCTTTTTGCAGAGACTATCATCTGGCACCTTCTTAGTGCATCACTAATCACATGACACAAACCAGCTGAATAATTTTGGAAGACTGGAGGGCTTTCATAGTGGGCTGTCCTGAATATTTCTTCTAGGGGTGTGTTACCTAGACTTCTGGGCAGACAATATTTATACTTTTTTTGTACGGAAGAAAGAAGTTTCAACTCAGCAAGACACTACCAGCATTAAGTTTACAGATACTGAAAACACTTCACAGTTCCATGTAGCTCAGCCTGATTTGTCTCTTACAGTTACACACAGAAAAAAAAGTTTGAGTGTTGTGGGGTGATATAAATGTGTTGCTTTTGACACCAAGTTGCATTTAGTTACTTCTCGCATTCTAAATCTTTAAAAACTATATTTTTGCAAAGTGTTATTGTCTTATATAGTATGCCTGATTGCATTGGCTTTATTGAAGTTATTCTGTAGAGCATTGAACATACCTGATAATACAGTGACTGGTGATAATTTATTATGCTGCATTGAAAACTTAAGAAAATCTGGGAAACCAGTAAATTTGTCATTTTTGCCCAGTTATTGCTCTTCTCACCTTGTGTTTTAATAAAGTTTTGATACTTCTGTATGCGTGTTAATTTGGTAAGACAAATAGAAATAATTTCAGTTGATTTTAATGTGCTGTGATATATATTTTGCTATGGTAAGAATTGCACCACGTAATGACAAATACTCACAAGTGCTAGATTTGTGAATTTCTTAAAAAATAAACATTTCTTATGTATTTGTGGCTTGCAGAAATCATTTTTTAATTTAGAATTTGCTATCACTAGCTATTGAAACAGTGGCTCTTGGACAACTTTGGGAGTATTGCAGATTTTTCATTTCACTGATTAAAACTTACAGGCAGCTTTAAATTTCTTTGGCTGTTTTCTTATGAAACCATAGCACTTTCCTTAATGCAATTCCTAACTTACATGGGGTGGGAAGGAAGGGGGAGTCAAGACAATATTATTTTAGCACCTTTTGGCCTTAACTAGTAATTTTGCTTGCATCAGCCCTAATGGATGCAAGGTAATACACATTAATATATGTTTGGATACATACATCTATATACACTTGTAACTATGTATGTTATAGAAAGCACCCTCAATGGCACTTAGCAGGGCTCACTGCACTTTTTTGTAAGGCTTTTGGAAACAACTGACTTTTAAAAAAATGTAGTTGAAAGTGATTTCTGCAAGCTATATCCACCATGTATCATCCATAGTACAATTGTAAGAACATTTGTCTGGCGCAGGTGTGAAGTCACTGAAAACAGTGTATGCCCTATTATTGCCAGCTGGAAATGGATAACCTTATTTTTGGGAGCGTTTTCCTGTCAGCTGAAAATGCTAGTCGCTATTCATATTATTAAACCCTATTATTTTTTGATAAATTGTCTTAGGATAAGAAGCCCTGCTTCCTCTTGCTGTGCTCCTTTGCTTCTTCTGCTAGAAAGTGATACTTGGTAACCAGAAGCTGATTCTGCAAGAGATTTATCTAAGCATTTTAAATACTCTTCCCTCTTGAGTTTTCAAAGCGCTACATTTCTCAGCACATTTCCCTTAATTTTATCTCTGGAGTCTTCAGTTCTCCTTTCCCAGCTCTGCTGCTGTTTGTGCTTACTTTTGACAACAGGGCTCCTTTTAGATTACAGTCAAAAAGGAGTAGGAAGAAAATGAGAAAAAAAAAAATTATGTGAGCAGAGAATGAAAGGGTGCCTCCTAAATTGCAGAGATGGAAAGGAGAGCCACACAAAGGCCGGAACATGCTGCTGTCCTTGTGGGTGAAAGTCTATAAGATAACTGCATTTGAATGTTTAGGTTACGCAGAATTCCACATCTGGGTGTTTGTGTGCATGTCTGTGATTCATGGAATCAAATTTGGCTCTGATTCTGTCTTGCTGTTTCTGTATTTTCAGCTCTTTTTTCTGTCTTTAGCATTACTTGATCTGGCAGAAAAGAACAAACAAGATCACATGTCTACCATGTTTAAAACTTTCCGTGAAAGCAGTCAATGCAGGTGGTATAGATGTGTACACAAGCTGACATACTGGGCCTCTCTGGAGCTGTTTCTTACGTGATTGTTGCTGTTGTAGTGTAAATAAGAGACTGACTTTGCCACTGAGGCCCTGAGAATGTGGACAGGACTGTAAGGGTCCCAGCGCTGTGCACCCAGAGTATACACGCAGTGGCTGTACCTGATGTAGACATTAAACTAAAGCTGCCAGACAGCATTCTGATTAACCACCTTAATCAGAATATATATATATATACATACACACACAAACAAAAATATATATACATATACACATATAAATGAGATCTGTCTACCTCAAGTGTGTGTACTGCAGAAAACTTTTGTATGACTAGATATTGACGCAGTGCTGTTAAAGTACATTGGGATTTAATTTCTTCCTTGTGTACTTGAGCAACTGAGAAATTAATTACAAACACACAAATTCAGAAGCCTTTCAAATCTATCTCTTGCTGGAACAACTTACAATACAAAACGTATAAGTTTATAACCACCTTTAGGATCACTTGAATTTGTTATGGTGCTATCAGTATATAGAAAACTCTGCCAGTATTAATACCTATAGCTGGGGTTTTTGCTTGTAATTGTGTGTAACTGCTTTTGCAATGTGTTTAATCTGATAAAACCGCACCAATAAAAAAAAAACAGAAAAAAAAAAAAGAAAACCAAACAACAAAAAACCCCCAAACCAACAAAAAACCCCAAAGTTACTCAGTTGTTTTTCTAAATCACATGTGATAACATCTTCACTACAAAAATTGCCCTCAGGAGTGGTGTGACTGTGTCTGTACCATATGTTAGTCTCACTAAAAGACTACAGTGTAGAGCAAGGTCTTCTTTGGGTCAGAGCCTTGTTTAATTTCTGTGACACTTAAGAGACAATTTATATCAATATTATATTGGGTAAAGTAACCCTGATACTGTTGAAAATTGAACAGAAATTTGGACTTGGCCATAGATATTTCTTAGTCCTGATGAGGTCATGGTAGTTGATTTTGGCTTTTGTGAAGATGCCATTACTGTGAAGTAGTTTTTACAATTACTGACGCTGGTAAATAGTTGCAGTAAGGAGGTATCTTGTTGCATTATCCTCAGCAGCAGTGAGACTGATGAATCACCTGGGCTTAGAGTCTCATTAAGTATACTTTCATTAAAAATAAAGAATTCAGATAGAATATATAATATTGAATTTAAATAAGATTTGGGGGTTTAAATTTTAACTTTATAAAATTATTTATTCTATTTTAAGCCTTCTGTCTTATTTTACCATCCAAGTATTTTTGGTTTTAGTGGTCCAGCTTTATTTACGGGCATATAAATTGAAATTGTAAGATGTTTTTACGAGCTTCTTCCTTTTACATTGAGTTTCAGTAGCTTTCATTTGTATGTTTTTGTTTTGTATGGATAAAGAGCATTACTTATGCTTTTGTGCAATAGGTTTGAAACATGCATTAATTAGGCTTATGTTTAAATTGTAAATGTAGCATCTACTTACCATTACATTTAAAAGGAATGTAGATGGCTTTTCTCATTTGGGGGTGGGCATGTGTGTTTTATGCTTTGTTCCATTTTTTATTTTATGAGTGAAATGGGGGATTTAAAATTTCTGTAAGTACAAGAACTATCTGTCAGCAATATTTTAAAATAAACGATCTTGCAAGAAACCTTAATGTGAATTGTGGAAGCAATCAACAAGACTTGCAGCCTATCTGAAAATGTTTTGTGCCATTGTTAGGTCTGGTATATTTGTGTACCATCACACCTGGGAATATTTTTTCTACTGGTTGTGCAATAGTATACACAACACTGTCACTCAGGAGATATGGGACCGTAAAAAATATCAGACTACAGCAAAGATGGTGCTATTTTTTCCAATAGGCTATGAGCCTTTGAAAGCTTATCTGGCTCTTATTGTCTTTATAACAACACAGTCCTAGGGGATTTACAGATTTTTTTTTTTTTCTACTAGATGATAAATATAACTTGCTATTTTACAGCATTCTGCATATTACATTAAGATAAATATAATAGGAAAAAGCCAACCAGTCTGTACATCAGCGAGATGAATCTTAGGTACACATTTTGTACAGAAGGCTTTACTGAACAGAAATATCAAGTTTCTACTTTTCCTCAGGTAATCACTTCAGTTTGGATGTTTCACTGAAAACATTAATGCAACTTTAGTTAGTCTGCCTAAAGTTGGTAACAGATCTTGTTCCACCCACAAGTCTCCTTACATAAGATACAATTAGATGTTACTTGGGTCTTGATATCCATTTTTGAAGAAAAAGCTGCAGAGAACAGCACTAACGAACATGGAACAATGCTTCAATCTCTGCTCTCATCAAAACTTGCAGTCAGGACAAAAATTACCTAGGAACTTGAGTCTTGTGGCAAGTCAACAGCTAATGTTTTACCTGTTTGTTTGTATACAAATTAAAGGTATGACTCTACTATTTGTTCCATATTTTATCCTCCTCAGAATATTTTGGAGATCTTTTGAAACCACAGTGACCTGTCCATGTCCTGGTGGTAGGGTAGGAACTAAATGTCCAATTCTATGAACATTTACATTGGTAACTTTACTAATAATCTGGATGGTTCCACAGAAAGCAGTGGGATCATTCATTCAAACAGAGGTATGGCTTAAGGAAGAACTCCTGAGTTTTGAGTACTGATATTCAACTATTTTTTTATTCTGTTATTTCTGTTTGAAATGGAAAGTATTGGTTTGATAGATTCTTTAATTCAAGTGACTTATCTGAACAAAAGGAAAGTTTGTTCTTTCCTTCTGCAAACAGGATCATTTTGTAGTTAAGGGACAATTAGCCAGTGCAACCACTAAGCCTTTTATCCTCATACGTGGCATAATAAAGATTCTGGAACTGTCAGAGTGTAAAACCATATTTTTGGCTTAGCTTCATTCAAAAGTTTACAATTTTTTATGCTTTGTGTTGCTGTGTAATTTCTGTACTACTGGTGGCTAGTTTTGTCTGAATAAGCCTTTTGGGGATTAATGCTTAATGTTTTGATTTTATGATAGTGAAGCTTGTATCCAGTGTTTTGCCAATGAATATTATATGCTTGTTAATAAAAGCAGAGAAACTAACTGAAATGCTGTGTGGCTGAAAGTTTTTGTCCCATTCTCTCCTGGGAACATGAAGAGGTAGTAGTCATCGTATCACTGAATAAATGCAGTGTGACTGAAACAGAGGTGGTGTCACATTGCATTGTCATAAAATCTGCCTTTTACTCAAAACAGAAGGATGGCTTAAAGTACTACTCCACTGTAATGTCTGTGCCAAGTGTGTGTCAAGTAACTGCCATACAGGAAATAAAATGGCTTCAGTCACCAAGAGGAAAAACAGCATTATCCTGGTGTCTTTATGTACCTGGATAAAAAGGTACTTACCTGACTTGTTCCTTTCAACCTTATCCTTACAACCTTATCTGGTTGAGATATTAACAATGCAAAACAGATGCTACAGTAGTTGAATTTCTTGCAGCATGTGCATTACATATAGTAATGCAGATGTTTAACTTCTAAACTGCTCTACATGCTGAGAGGACAGTACCTTTATTTATACACTTGGCTTGTCAGGAGCTGCCAGCAGCTCGAGGCTGCTTTGAAGTCAGTTTTATTCATACATGCTTTTCTTATTTGCACTGATATTACCCACGTATAATTGTCCTTTATTGTGTGGAAATTGTGAGGAAATAAGGCGTTTGCCACTTACTAGCTTCATTTAAATGTCACTATGAGAGACAAACTGCAGAAAAGTCCCTTTGCCTGTGTATAGTCACTAAAAATTGAATGAAAAATTAGCACTAATTCAAGATGTGTTATTTTGGAAGTCCTCCATGCCTTTATTATAAGTGGTTTTAATGCTTACCTGAACTTTGTACTACAGGTTGCTTTCATCGATCTGTGAAGTAACCAGTGCTGGGCCTGGCTCCCTCCCTTTCCTGAACATGGTGTTATTCTGATAAATAAAGCTAAAAACTTCTCCTATTTGACTGAAATTCCCAAGCATCACAAAAAGAAATTGTCCTAACAGTTGTGTTTGCTAGCCCTGGAAGCATAAACCTGCCCTGCAGCCAGTAGGAGGTAACTACATTTTTTAACCCAGACAAAATACAATATGACAACGTTTTACTGGTATTTCTTATTTCATATGTAACTGATATTTTCTTACTTTGCTCATGACTATTCTGCTATTAAAAAATCATTACTTTGAGTGTACTTCCTCTTTTTGTGCAATAACTTCTTCCTTGGGATTAGAGCAGTCAGCAAAGAAATCCATGTAATTTGAATATGTGCATTTAAGATCGATAAATTCAGCTGTTTAAACCCAGGTGTAGGCATAGTCACTCAAGATTCAATTGGTCATAACTCAAGTTAGGCTTAATCCAGTGCTGCATATGAATAGAGGTACGCTGCAGTGCAAATCCCTGTGTACCTCCATAACAAGTCCCTGTGCATCTTTAATTTCCAACATCATCCTCGTTTAGCTTTTTATATTCTTGATTTTTTTAGGCTTCCTTTTGATTAGCTTTTCTTCGAGGAAGTCAAGCAATGATCTGGCATTAGTGGCGAAAAATGCTTACAAGCATAGTCTGAGAGATTCAGCTGCTAAAAGGAAGATGTGGTCCACATCTATATAAATACTTCTAGTCTTTCACATGGCAATACACTTGCACTTGTCAGTATGTAGAGGTGTTTTACTGAAGGGCTTGAACTGGACATGTCTGTGCTTTGTGTGTTTTGTCTAATGATTGCATGTGGATGTGTCCATGGAAATAAGAACAAAACAAAAATGAAAGCCATTGGCTTCAGTCCGAAGACTGATGGGGTGATTTCCATGAGGAGATGTTGCTGTTAAAGCCTTGTTTGTTGTTTCCTGCCCATGTTTGTAGTTTGAAATTGTTTCTTCACATACCTGAAGAAAGTGAAACTTTGTTCTCATTAAATTCATTAAGGCTATTTTTTTGTTTTTTTCTTTGATGCAAAGTTCACTATCCCTTGCCTGAATCCTTGTTCAAGACACCACAATGGCTTTGATTCTGAGTGCTCCAAGGCTGCGCCATATGACAGTTTCCATTGCTGTTGGGAACAGTACTGACTGCTGATGCAGAAAATAATGTCCCTACTTCTGATCTTTTCTACTGGTTCGCAGCGGGGCGCAGAGCAGAAGTTCTGCTTTGGTGTATTTTGTAATATATTGTCCAAATGCTTCTGTTTTCCCATCTGAGCCATGCCTTTGTAACTAGCTGCAATGGATTGTATTAGCATTACTTGGATTATTGTTTAAATGCATTTTGCTGTTTACAGAAGTGCCTGGAAATACACTAGTACAGAGTGAATCTGGATGTCAGGTAGAATGTATCTCTTGGGCTGCTCTCACCTCTGGAAAAGAAAGGAATCTTTTCTCTGCTTCGTTTCAGTGTTAGACTGCAACTGCAACATCTGAGACTTGATAATTTCAATGGAAATGTTCAGCTTTGAGGGTCTCTCTCGATTTTATTGTAGCCATTGCAGTGGGCATTGCTTAAAAATGATCAGTGCTGATTTGAAACACAGACACTGGGTTGTTTCTGGATCCTCTGCCACTGGCACCTCAACAGATCCTCTGTGTTGTGACTCAAGAGAAAACAAGCTTATTCTGATGACTCTTTCCCTAGAAAACAAGCAGTCTCAAGTCTGTGCATTCTGATACGACAGGGATTGCTTCACCTTTTCTCTCTTCAAGAGCATTTTGAGATCAGAATGTCTTTTACAGACAAGGTTGTCTACTCAGGCTCACAAGGCCTCACAAGCAATTTTGCTGGTTTTAATCAGAATGGCTGAAGGCTAAGCAGTTGCAAAGAGTTGCTCACAGGGCTGCGACGGGCACCTGGGGAACCTCACATTGCCTTCAAGAAAGTTCTCAGATCTGAAATAGTAGATGGGTCCCACCTTCAGCATTTTTCACAGCTGATTAATACTCTTTGTCTGATCTCTGAGGATCCTTCTTAAGAAAGTGTGCTTTCAACTTGCCTTGGGCCTCATCCTCTTGCTTCATTGGCCTTGGTGGGTTGATTGCCTTTGTTGCTGCAGCATGGGGGCTGTTCCTGCTGGATATGACAAGGCCTCATTTCTCCACCTTTCCCTGTTCAGTTACTCCGATCTGTGCCCCATTTGATGTTGCACATCATGTTGTAAGTGATGCAGGTGGCAGTTCAGCTTCCTGCTTCACACGAGAAGCAGGAGCCACTTATGTTGGTGCTGTTACAATACACCCTCATCATGGAGGAGCAAAGAGAACTCTCAATGAATAAAGCAGATGGATTCAAAGGTTCAGTTATTCCCAGAATAAAACCAAAACGAGGTTAGACACTGATGCAAAAAAAAAAATAAAAAGGATATATTTTATTTAACAGTAAAGAAGCAAATAGAAAGAAAATAGAGAAAAGCATCTTATAGCTCACCACCACTGTTGCTACCTTTTTTTGCCCCTGATACCACTTGGGGTGAAGCAATCTGTGCCTTTTTTTTTCTTATTTTCTGCCATTTGGAGTGAATTATCTGCTGTCTCCAGTCTCGTTAGCAGCTTAGGTGGAAAGCAGCCACCCTTGCTCCGAAACGCAGGCTCGAAATCGGGTGCCTGATCCGCACAGCCAAGCCTCAGTGCTCTCACCACAAATGTCAGGAGAAGGGGGATGGGGGATTTCCACAGCTCCACTTCTGACTTGGATCCAAGGAAGAAGGATCAGAGGGCTCTCCTGGAGTTGGCAGCATCGGCTCCTGGAGGCCTTGGGGTGTCTCACAGCAGGCAGTGGTGGGTGAGAGAAGGCAAAGGTCAGAGATTCTGCCCTTCTCTTTCTTCTCCACACTTTTGCACAGGTTTTGCCTTCCTTTTTATGGATCTCAAGCTGGCCTGCTCACAATCCATCCTGCACATAGCTTTCAGGTGTTCAGAAGAGCTTCTGATAAGCAGACATAATGATGAAGCACTTTTTGTAGTCTTTCTCTAATATCAGGTTCTGCAGACACAGGTACTCATGATGTTAAAAATTGCCTACTGTTTTCTGGGTTTTGTGCTGGAACTGGAGAGGAGGCTGATTTTATTACTAATCAATCATTATCCATAATTCATGGAAGAGGTATGAACTCTGTGTAGACTAACACACTAACTGCCTGGAACATACAAAATGTAATTATTGTGGCTGTGGATCTGAAAGGACAGCTATTGTTACATAATTGATGATAGACTTAATTTAAAGTTGAAGAAAAAATTGGAATTCTGCAGGAGATTCTGAAGGTCATCATGAAGGGTAAGCTGACTGTGAAACAGTGAAGTTTGTGCTTAGACAACAGAAAAAATATGGGCTTCACAGGGATTACTTGGGATGTCTGAGAAGTCTGTACACTTCTGGGTGCAAAGTAATTGGAAAAAGACGCAATGGAAAAGAGAGATGAGTTGGGAAATGCCTGTTTCAGTACATGAGGTTGCTTTGGGTTCTGTGTCACATATCACTTTATGTCTTGTTGCATGTTTGAGGTGCTGGGCTGGGGTCCCTGCACAGTTCCTGGTGACCCAGCAGCCCCAGTGCAGAACTGTGCAAGAAGGCCCTTACTGAGTCCTGTGGCTGTGAGAGAGTCAGGTCCTTGTTCAGAAAGGAGGCTCCAAGGTGGAGCTAGGGGGAAGAAACTGTGTCCTGGGGTGTCCAGGGTCATTGGATCACTCCTGAGGCGGTCAAAAAGCCAGTGGGAGGGGTAAGCCCTGAAGCAGCAAGAGGAGTATCCAAAGACAAGCATGTAGCTTTATGGGGAGCCACCAGCTAGCCAGCCTCAGGCAAAAGAAGGCATATTTTTTAGAGAATGGGTATGCCCACTATCAAAGTGACAGCTAGGGTGCAGTCATTAGCTGAGAAGTCAGTGGTCCACCTATCATCCATCTGCCCTCTCGCAGATCAGTTTTACCAGAGATGCATGCAGCTATTTTAAACCTTGTACTGATCCAGAGCCAGTGTCAGCAAGATCCCACCCATCTGCTGGCAGGCACTCACAGGAGCTTTAGGAGCACATGTCTGCAAGATTTCAACATGAAAGCAGGCACAGCTTGGCATTCTAAG